CCCCCCCCCCCAGCCCTACCAAGCAGATGGCCTTCATTACGTGTGGGATCTAATTGGATTGATCAGCAGTTAATGGGAAATTAAGAGGTGAATTCCTTCCCCCCTCCCCTCCCTTCCTCCCAGCTCCACCAGGTGCTCGGTGCAGCCTCTGGGGCTGGTGCAGCCCAGTCCCTTGTTGTCCCCCCCTCCTTTCCTGAGGGGGTGAGCGAGCAGAAGGTGGGGGGGGGCTAGTTTGGACCTCGTGGGCATTGGGGGTGAGGGTCCGTGCGTGGGGAAGGATGGGGGGGGCGTGCGATGGCTGTGTCTTCTCCTGGTGTGAGCACAGGTGTGTGGGCACGGGGGTGTGTGGGCACGGGGGTGTGTGGGCACCGGGGTGTGCACTCTTCTCCTGGCGTGTGGCTCCTGAGCCGTGCTTTGGCCTTGCTCCTGCTTTTTCCTCTCATTCCTGGTGCCCACAGCCCGGCTGTGACCCCCCCAGGGAGGGGGCTGGGACTCTGGTGACGTGGGGACACTCAGCATCTCTGCAGTGGTTTGTGCCAGGGGGCTGCCACCCACCCCCCGTAACACAGAATCCCAGAATCTTCTAGGTTGGAAGGGACCTTCAAGATCATCTTGTCCAACGGTCAACCTCACTGACAAAAATAGACACCCCCACAACAAACAAGGAGCATCATCACTAAACCAGACCTCCCAGCACCACATCAACCCGGCTTTTGAACACCTCCAGGGATGGGGCCTCAACCCCCTCCCTGGGCAGCCCATTCCAAGGGCTGAGAACCCTTTCAGGGAAAAAATTGTTCCTAATATCCAGCCTGAACCTCCCCTGGCGCAACTTGAGGCCATTTCCTCTCGTCCTGTCGCCTGGGACTTGAGAAAAGAGACCAGCCCCTAGAGGCTAGTTGCCTCCAGCAGGTCCACCCCTAACCTCTACTGGTACCTGACATTTTTCTTCCCCAGGTGCAGGACCCTCCACTTTTCCCTGTTGAACCTCATGAGGTTCTTCCTTGCCCAGCCATCCAGCCTGTCCAAGTCTCGCTGGATGGCAGCACAGCCCTCCGGGGT